GAAAGGCTAAGTCCTCTTCTTCTAGAAAGCTAAGTTCTCACCTTTTAGAAACTAAATCTCTCACTTTCTAATTTCCATCTTTTATGAACTCAAAGGCACCTTTGAGCAGCATCAACACCCAGAACAAATACCGATTACTAGGGGCAAAAACATCAACACCCAGCTCGACGTATTCATGTTGATGCGGAACAGGTAGTAGCAGAATGACCTTGACAACTAGTAGTCCGGCAACAGGCACCTCGGTGTAAGGCTGTCCTCGTAGGTTGAGCCAGTCATGGTTCCCACAGGAAGTTGATGGCCAACAGACTAAGTACCTCTGTCGACTTTATTTCAACTCGGATAAGACCTCATAAGTCCTCTTCACAAGGTACCATTTACAAGATGAGCTCTTCGTGGCTTCCGCGGGAATTGGCGGCCAACGGACTGCATGGACGCCCTTGTTGGTCGAGCCTTTCAAAGCTCCCATGTGAGCTGGTGACCTAAAGTCAGTAGTGCTGCTCCCAGTAGGTCGAGCTCCCAGTAGCTTCTTGTAGGAGTGGGTGACCGGCGTTACTAACGAGGCTGATGCAGCACAACCGTAGCTCTAAGGTGCCGAGCTGGTAAAAGACCTCAGCACCACATAAGACCCAGTTGCCTCTTTGGCATGTGCAAAATCAAGGGTAAGGAGAGTGGACTGCGGTCGCTCCCAGAGCCTAAGGGCTAAAGTGCCGAACTGATAAAAGACCTCGGCACCACATAAGACCTAGTCGCCTCTTCGGCATGGGCGAAATCAAGGGTAAGGAGAGTGGACTACGAGTCGCTCTCAGAGCTTAAGGGCTAATTGCCGAATTGATAAAAGATCTCGGTGCTACATAAGACCCAGTCGCCTCTTCGGCATGGGTAGAATCAAGGGTAAGGAGAGTAAACTGCGAGTCGCTCCCAGAGCTTAAGGGCTAAAGAGCCGAACTGATAAAAGACCTCGGCACCACATAAGACCCAATCGCTTCTTCAGCATGGGCAAAATCAAGGGTAAGGAGAGTGGACTGTGAGTTGCTCCCAAAGCCTAAGGGCTAAACTGCCGAACTGATAAAAGACCTCGACGCCACATAAGACCCAGTCGCCTCTTCGGCATGGGCAAAATCAAGGGTAAGGAGAGTGGACT